CGGCCGAACAAAAGCTGTTTCGGCATGCGGTGGCTGGGCATGCGGGCTACATGACCCAGCCATCGCAGCCTTCCCCGCCGGAGGAGCTCACCGATGGGACCTTGCCCAGATCTTTCAAGGATTTGTGAGCTCCTCACACAATCCAGTCTGGTTAAACCCAGGATGGATCGTAGGCAGGCCAGCCTAAATGTTTCTAACCGGCGAAGATGTTCCATTAGGGGGGTCCACGTTTCGCAAGCGTAGAGAAGGGAGGGAATGACCGTGGCCGAGAAGACCTGAAGCTTAGTGCGGAGCGACAGACCAGGTAGCTTCCACACAGCGTTACGCAACCGATGAAAAGATATTGCCGCTCACACACACTCACACACAAACACACACACTCACACACACTCACACACAAACACACACACAACACACACACTCACACACACACTCACACACAAAAAACACACACAAACACACACACACTCACACACACACACTCACACGCAAACACACACACAAACACACACTTACACACACAAAACACACATATAAAAACACACGCAAACACACGCAAACACACACACAAACACACGCAAACAAACACACACGCAAACACACACACACGCAAACACAAACACACGCAAACAAACACACACGCAAACACACACACACGCAAACACACACGTAAACACACGCGCAAAAAAACAAACACACACAAACACGCAAGCGCAAAACGCGCGCTTTGCAAACATTCTATTATTTTTTTGCAAAGGTTTTTTTTTTGGGGGGGGGGGGTTACATTTCATTTTAAAACGTCTTTCATTTTTAAATGCGATTATTATTCCTTACGAATACCCCCACCCTCCACTCCCTCCCCCCGCCACCCAACCATTCCTCGCTTCGCCCGATCCCCCGGGATGAGGCGCTGCTTCAAGTGGGCGCCCCCCGCTGTCAAGCGCACTTGTTGGGGAACCAATCACAGCGCCGAGAGGGCCCCCGGGGAGAGATGTTCTGCCCAGTTTCCAGGCAACACTGATGCATGGCGAGGCTGTTGGAGTGGTGCTCTCTAGCTCTCTAGCTCTCTCTCTCTCTCTCGCTCTACTCGGAGCGTTTTGCCGGAGCGAAATCTGCAGCGACGCCAAGGTTACCGGCTACAGCAACAACAACAACAACACAAACCCGGAGACACCCTCGGCGCGTGGCAGGATCTGTGATTTTTTTTGGGAGCATTTTCATGGAGATGAAAACTAATCGCGACCGGAACGCAGATTTGTTACCTAAAATAGGCGTCAGACCGAGTAACGTTTCAAAAAAAAAACCACCCAACACGAATTCTGTACGTTCACGTACGCATCGAGAGGTGGGGGTGGGGAGACGTGGTGGAGAGACAAAGATACACGCTGATTATAGGTCGACTTGTGGATGTGTGCAGTGACTGAGAGAGGGGGGAGGAGGCAAGGAGGGGGGGGGGGGTGGTGGAATCAAAGGTTATGATTGTAGATCGTGGCCGAGGAAGCATTAAAGGAGGCGAGAGGAGCCTCTGATTGACACGAGCTTAGGGGCCGTGCGTGTGCGGCTCGAGGCACGGAGGAGGAGGAGGAGGCAAGGGTGGTGGTGGTGAGGGTGGTGGGGGAGTGAATCCACGCCGCACACGCAATGAGTGCGCGCGCAGAGGTCAGAGCAGCAAACACAACGAGACTAACGCGGGTGTTTGCTGCTGCTGTTGCTGTAAGCGCTACGGACTCACGTCTCCTGTGCCGTCGAGATTTGTCTCGCAACCATGTCATTCCGCGAGCTTGACAATACACCTTCTGCCCCCCCCAAAAAAAGCATTCCCGTTCCCATCTAGATCGAGAGCTCATTTCTTCACAACTGCTTTTTTTTCTCTCTGTTTCGTTTGTCGTCCTTCCCCACCGCACCTCCGATGAGCGCCGTTGGCTGCGTACGGTGCGGAAGAAGTTCGACACGCACACACACACGCGCGCGCGCGCGCGACAGTGGCAGCGGGGATATCCGCGCGGTGGCATGGACGAGGTCGTGAGTTCAAATCTCGGCCAACCTCCTAGCCCCGTCGTTTTCGTCAACGCCACATCTATGTATTGCCACGGACATTTCGCTTCCTTGCCCTCCTAGTAGACCCCCCTCAAACATTGTCTCTCTCTCTCCGCATTCCGTGCGTGTCCGTGATGTGTGTCTCTCTCCAGATTGTCCCGTCTTTGTGCCTGGCCATGTCACATTCATTTCAGCTTATCAATTCATCTCATCAGGCCGGTCTCCTAGGCCATTGTAAACTGAACCATTTTTTTTCAATTTTAAACATTTACTATTTTCGTTTTAACCAGGTAAGGCCCCACTGAGCTACGTAACTCTTTTTTTTTCAGAAGCGACCTGGCCACCACAAACGACGGCTCAACGAAGTGGGCTTATCGCGTGGATATCTGAAAGCGGCAGCCAAAAAAAAACTCTAAACGCGTGATGTTGATTCTAAGTGTGGAGTAGAAAACACCCAGGGGACCAAGGAGGAAGAGGCAAGCAAACTCCAAAATACACAGCAGGCGTCAAGGTCGGGATCGTACCCGCGACCACCTTGTACACCGGGCGAGGTAGTCAACATCCCACAACAGTGGTGCCCAATTAATTGGTAGCTGCAGTTGTGCCATGACAGATCCCTGCGCCTTAATGTATTGTTTTTTTGGTTATTTCCAAACCTTGCACTGCGCAGTGCAAATGCCCTCCTTTGCTTTTATGAATTATGCCTCACAGCCACAACAACAAAAGAGGGTAAACAAAACGCAGCGGAAATCGCGAAAACGTTACATAGTCTATATAAATATATATTTTGTAAAAACCCACAAGTCGCATCTAGGGACGCGGAATGAACGATACAAGGAACGACGCCGCCTCCTCCAGACGGCGTGAGCCCCCCCCCCCCCCCTACCGCGAGGCCAACGGAGACTCTCAAATAAGCCTCTTTAAAGTGCAAATTGCGTTGCGCGCCTCGAGATTCGCGTATTTCCCCACTTAATGTTGAAAACAATCCGCGTAGAATAGCGAAGCAGCTTTGGGCCACCCACCTACTCACCCACCTACTCACCCACCCACCCCCGTTACGGGCAAGCATGAAGAGTAGAACCCATAGCTGAGAAATGCATTAGAGGCAGTTAAGAAACTCGCATTTCGGCGGTCTGTTACCGCCGAAATTCTGGCTCCTAGGGAGGGCTTCTTGGTTCTTCGCGCCTCTCCCGTCGCCCCCCATGTGTGTAGATACTGACTATTTTATGTAGGATGTATAGGTATACATGACTCTATAGTAGATGCTGACTATTTTATGTAGGGTGTGTAGGTATATATGACTCTATAGTAGATACTATTTTATGTAGGGTGTATAGGTATATATGACTCTATAGTAGATACTATTTTATGTAGGGTGTATAGGTATATATGACTCTATAGTAGATACTATTTTATGTAGGGTGTATAGGTATATATGACTCTATAGTAGATACTATTTTATGTAGGGTGTGTAGGTATATATGACTCTATAGTAGATACTATTTTATGTAGGGTGTCTAGGTATATATGACTCTATAGTAGATACTATTTTATGTAGGGTGTATAGGTATATATGACTCTATAGTAGATACTATTTTATGTAGGGTGTGTACGTATATATGACTCTATAGTAGATACTATTTTATGTAGGGTGTGTAGGTGTATATGACTCTATAGTAGATACTGACTATTTTATGTAGGGTGTGTAGGCATATTACTACATCGTAGAAACTACCGACTCAGTAGATACTACTGACTCTATTGTATGTAGGGTGTAAGTATATATGACTCTATAGCAGATACTACTGATTCTATAGATACTATTGACTATTTTATGTAGGGTGTGTAGGTATATGACTCAATAGTAGATACTATTGTATGTAGGGTGTCGAGGTATATATGACTATATAGTAGATACTATTGTATGTAGGGTGTCGAGGTATATATGACTCAATAGTAGATACTATTGTATGTAGGGTGTCGAGGTATATATGACTATATAGTAGATACTATTGTATGTAGGGTGTCGAGGTATATATGACTATATAGTAGATACTATTGTATGTAGCGTGTATAGGTATATATGACTCTATAGTAGATACTATTGTATGTAGTGTGTCGAGGTATATATGACTATATAGTAGATACTATTGTATGTAGGGTGTCGAGGTATATATGACTCAATAGTAGATACTATTGTATGTAGGGTGTCGAGGTATATATGACTATATAGTAGATACTATTGTATGTAGGGTGTCGAGGTATATATGACTATATAGTAGATACTATTGTATGTAGCGTGTATAGGTATATATGACTCTATAGTAGATACTATTGTATGTAGGGTGTATAGGTATATGACTATAGTAGATACTATTGTATGTAGGGTGTATAGGTATATATGACTATAGTAGATACTATTGTATGTAGGGTGTCGAGGTATGACTCTACAGTAAATACTATTGTATGTATGGTGTATAGGTATATATGACTATAGTAGATACAATTGTATGTAGGGTGTATAGGTATATATGACTGTATAGTAGATACTATTGTATGTAGGGTGTATAGGTATATATGACTGTATAGTAGATACTATTGTATGTAGGGTGTATAGGTATATATGACTGTATAGTAGATACTATTGTATGTAGGGTGTATAGGTATATATGACTCTATAGTATATACTATTGTACGTAGGGTGTCGAGGTATATATGCCTACAAGTTATCTATTTTTGGTGGGGGGGCAGTACATTTTTTGGGGGGGTCGACGATTGTTGTAAACCTGTTGGATCAGCTTTTTACCCCCACATCTGATGGGGGGGGGGTCCACTTTCTGTAACTTTTAGATTCAGGCCTTTCGAAAGGCTTTCATAATTTAGTCAACGGACAAACGGAACGCCCGGCTTGTATTATAGATGCGTCAATGACACACACACAAAAAACACACAAAATGGTAATCTTGCCAAACAGAACTCTCTCGCGTTTTTATTTGGAACTCATAAATATACCGAACAGAACTACGCCACTTTGGCTTTAGGAGAAGAAAAAATGGGGGGGGGGGGGGGGGGGGGGTGGGGTTGGAGAGGTGGGGGAAGTCACATCAACGCTAAACAACCTCGCAGAACTAACGATGCGTACAAGAGGACACGCGACATGGGGTCACGGCACGGTCGTTACAGCGGAGGGCACCGGGGGGCGAACACTCACGGAGTCTCTCCCAAGAAGAGGAGGCGTACGGCGACCGTTTCGCCGTACGCTCGACTTTCGGCCGCTGCCGAGCATAAGCTGTGGAATCGAAACTGACGGACGAGGAATTACTCTACTCTGGATGCTTGCTTGCGTGCGTGCGTGTTTGTGTACATTATAAAAAGGGACGAGGAGGGGGGGGGGCTTCAATCAGCGATGCTTCGTGGGATCAGCAAGGAGTGCGTGCAGGGCAGACGCGACATGGCTCCAGCCTCTTCCCAAGTATTTTTGCGGCCCACTGCCATGTGCGCAGTGCAATGCCCCCGACAGTGGATTGGTGAATTTTGTCTCGACAAAAGGGGGGGGGGGCGACACGGTGCGGTATTAAAGAGCACATTGTGAGAAGAGCTGCCAGGCATGACGGCAACAGTTTAGACTGCTGCCCACCTCAAGTCGCATTAAATTGTTTTTATTATTATTATTACCAATGCTTTATTTAGCTAGGAGGGCCTCGCCGAGCCCCAGTGGCTTTGTCTGGAGTTGTCCCGCTTGGCATGTTTGGGTGAAACCAATGCGAGCTTTGAGAAGAAGGATGGAGCTGGGAGGCACACAAAAAAGAAACCTCCGGATACGAAGAGGTTAACGCTCGGGGGGGGGGGGGGAAGTGTCTCGCACAAGGCATCCGAGCTTCATCAATTGGAAAACAGATGCAGGAAGCGAACATGGCGACAAATACCCGCAAAACCTGTGAAGGATCACAAAAGAGATGCGGAATTTCGCCGCGTAAAGAGTTCCTCCGGCGCAAGCGTTGACGACGTTTGAAAACTCTAATCGACGTCAAACAGTTACAAGTGGGATAATGAGCAAACGCCTTGCCCCCCCAGTTATCGTCCGAAAGAGGCCTTCTCCCGAGTCGTACGCGGCAGCCCTGCTTGCAGGCACGGCGGACTGCAAAGGTTTTTGCAAAAACCTGGTCGCAAACTTGCGTTCCCGAAGGTCGGTTTCGTTTTGCGTGTGCGCGACGGACGCCCGTTCTCGAACCGGTGAACCCTGAAGTGCTATCTGTTCCATCGTGGCCAAAGGGGGGGGGGGAGGGGGCGCTCACGCCATGACCTAACCAGCCTCAACTTGGACAATTCTTACCCGGTTTCACTTGAGCAATAACGCTGCTAGTTGACGAATACATTTTCTACTCCAACAGGTGAAATTAGCTCTCGATAATTTACCCACCTACATTTGACTGAAAGTGCAAAAAAAAAATGTCACAGCTACGTCTCTTCTGCCGTTTAAACGCCTACTTCTGAAGCAAGAACGAAAAATCTACGCGGCTCGTCTATCCGTCTATTACGCTCATTCCAAATCGCTGATCTTCTAAGCGCTTCAAAAGCAGCACCGCACTGAAGATCACAGCAACAAGAGGGTCAGCTGACACCCGTGCAGTTCCTTTCAAATTCACACGAGTCTTCGATTCAACCTAAGCCAATCAGGAACCAGGGCTCGAAATGCGTCGATTAAGGAACAGGGGCCTGAAATGCCTTCATACACGCACCCGGGTAAAGAAAAGGCTCGACACTGGCATAGTGGTTCTCGCACCCACAGTTCTACGTGCTGCACTGGCATGGCCGTGACTTGCAAGGGCGACGAAAACCAAAAAAGCACGACCTCACACACTCACGGCGGCGGTGCCAGCCGGCGTTTCTGAAGGCTGCCACGGAGCCTTCAAGCGGCCCAGCGACTGCAGCCGGTCATACCATTCATGCCAGTGTGGCCGGCTGCAGCCACCACGCCGGAAAGATTCCGTGCACCTCTCCGTACAATTCGATAATTTTGCCACCAACTCAAGATTCGAGGCCACAATTCGGAAATACATTTTAAAATGTTTTTTTTTTTACCTTGTGACTGGAGTGGCCTCTTCGTGGCAGCAAGGGTCATGTCAACACATTTCGACCGAGGTATACAACATAAAAAGGATCGATTCTCTCAACAATTTGTTGCACGTATCACGAGGGTAGCGATTCATTTTCATCGGCGAATCAATTCATAGCAGCTTCAAAGTGGCTTCGTTATGGTCGGGGCTTCATCGTCACAGCGGTCAGTGAGCTACACACTACAGTCTCATTTTGTACAGCTTAAGTCTCCCCAGCGATAGCTCAACAGCTTCCAGCCGACGGGGCTGGGCCCGCGGTTGGGCACGGGAAAAAACACAGAGGGAGTAATATTCGCGCGATGCGAGCGCGCGAGCTGCGCTCGGCCGGATAAACATTCCCGATGACCCGGCGCCTTTGAATTAAATGCGCGGGCGGGTGGGTGGGGGGGGAAGATGGAAGCGCGCTCGATGCTTCGCGATGGGAAGGGTGGGGGCAGCGGCAGCGAGTGCCGAAGGGCCACCGGCTGCTGCTAGCTGCTTGCCGGCTGCGGCAGTAGCGGGGGCGGCAGCTTGTCGTCGTCCTCGTTGTCAGCGTCCAGCGGTGCGAGACACGCGGCCTGCTGCTGCTGTTGCTGCTGGGCGCTGGGCGGCCGCACCTCCAGTGGAAATTTGTCGACTACGTCCTGCACCTGCTGCATCACCTCCTCCTGCCAGGAGATGAGGTGGCGCTCCATCTCGCGTGCCCCTGCCGACGGACAAGGTTCACACGCGCGGCAATGAGTGCGATTCGGTCGGGCGCCGTCGCAGGGATACGACAGATGAATGTGTGTATGTATGTACGTGTATGCGTGTATGTGTGCATGTATGTACTTGTATGTATGTGCGCACATCTATGAATGCTTCACGGATTTGCGTGTCATCCTTGCGCAAGGGGCCATGTTAATCTACTCTGTATCGTTCCAATCTTAGTGTATGTACTGCTGGAGAATGAGAAACTTTGAGGATTTCACCTGTGAAGCGCACGGTGGTGTGGGGGGCTTGGAGGAGGGGTTCGTGCCATCATCAGCGAAGGCATTGTAACCATCGCCTGTTGCCTAGCAGGGTCGCTGCCCTCACTGATGGCCTTTTATCAATAATGCAACGTTGAGCAGCAGGAAGCGATGGTGGAATGGTTAAGCACAGTGCACTATGAGAACCTGACGACCCGAGTTTGATTCCAGACCATGGCTAAACGTCAGTCGTACATATCTGAATGTCAGTCGGTCGTACATCAATACCTGAACCGGTCGAGAGCCCGTCCCATTCGCCAACCCCACACTGACCAGCGCGGTGAAGTATGATCACACAACTCCCAGCACCGACACGGTGTGGGGGAAGTCTTCATCCAGCAGTGATATTAATCAAAAGGCCGTAAATTACGAACAGTCCAGCCGCCAAACACTTCGAGTGAATCGTCAAGATTTGCAGTCGCGATAAGATTTAATAAGTGTTGAGTTTAGGTTTTGTCGACTGGCATGTTGTATTTTTTTTTCCCATTTGTTCTCGCTCACGCGAGCCCTCACTTGCTTCTCATAGCCCAAGCGAAACAACCGAGCACGATTTGTGAAAAGATGTGCACGTACCGTAAGGTACATAATTCTCACGGACAATTCGTTGCATCCATCGTGGTTACAAGAACCGCCTTTTAGTTCCGTCAAACAACGCACAAGTCCTCGACTACCTATTACGCAGGCTGCTGCTATTCGGGCAGCGTTCATGGCGAAGGCCCTGGGAAGAGGCGTTTGTCCCGTTCGCGCAGTCCCTCAAGCTTCGTATGAAGGTAACGCAAAAGTCTATTACCAAGGCCATACATTACTACAGTACCTGGATAAGTTATTAGGCAAGTGAGAATGTTTAATGGTCAGCGCTGACCCCTGCCTACACGAAATGCCCACCAACGCACCAACAACCGCCATTCACCAGTGTCGGTGACGTCACCGCGGCGCTTGTGCGAGGCAATGTGCACTTCAAGGCCACGTGAATTGTCGAATGCCCGCTGGCAGGAGGTCATGGGACAGACCCAGGTGCCATGGGTTGACAGACTGAGATGATTTACCCTTAAATTACATGGATCTAACCCACGCACACACACACACACAGAGCAAGTGGTGTGTGTGTGTGTGGAGTAAAATACTGTACACATATGTGCTGCCACCTATTGGTGACTGGGTATGTGTGTTAGGGCAGCGTAGTTTATTTCAATATGACACGGAACACCTGGGACTGGAGCAAACGTTTCTATTCCTCTTCTTTGCACGGTTTTCTGCGTATGGGATTCACAAAGTGCACCTTTTTGCAGGGGGGGGGGGCAGAGGGTAGCACGCTGCACGTAGATGTTAGAACCGAAAGTGGGTTTGTTAACTCATCGCCGTGCACCTAGTAGTGTTGTCCACTCCTATATGTGTGTGTGTGGTTCTTTTTTTCTCCTGTGGGTACTCTGATCTCCTTTAAGCGAAATAAGAGCCCTGCACAAGTAAGTGGTGAATCATCCAAATGTAGGACACCTCCTCTCCTAAATTGTGAACTTTCCTGGAAACAAAAATGTATTATTATTGCTCAGGTGTGTCTGTAAGGAATGACACTAACCCTGGTCTTGCCGTGAAGAGTCACCAACCGCAACGGGCTAATGCATCACAGCGAGTGCCAAATTGACGTACGCTACCTCTGAGCAATGCGATCCCACCGCTGCCGACGTGGCTACGTTTGCAGGCACGTAACAATTCACCTCTCCTCCCCCACGCTGAGACGAACTCTCAAGTCGGGATGTCATGATTTGTTTTAACAACAAAAATGTACACGTCCTAACGCACTGTCGCATTGGCATTGTAAGGTTCACTTGTTATGTCTCACGAGTGCGGTCTTGCTTTTCAAATGCACAAATGCAACATTGCATAAAATGTTAAACATCTCAAACAAGAATGGAGCAGTCCATCTTATGGGCGGGGTAACTTTCTGCAATTGTTATTTCACATGCACAGCGTGAGTCACCTACAACCTCCAATTCTGCGTTTTGCCGGGCGGTGCCACCGCTCACGCCGACTGGGCAATGTGAATATTACAATTCACAGCTCACAGTTCGCACAACTCGGTTGCTTATACACGTAAGGTTATTCGATTTGCTCACGATTCGATACACCTGTCGTTAGATTAGCAGTCGATTCCAAGTGATGAATCTGTTACATGCCCCCTGAAACAAAAGGGCAGTGACACAGGGCGAGATGCGCGCATCTGCTTGTCGACGAGTGCCCTTCGCCCGCACTGTGCCCGCACTGTTACAGCAGCGGGCATTGTACCGCCCTCTTGCCACCACCGCCGCTACCTGCGATGACGTTCCCTTGGCGCTCGTGTAGCTCATGCAGCGCGCTCAGGTTGTGGTTCATGAGCCGCAGAGCCGGGCTCAGCTCGGGCTCCGTGCTGCTCAGGTGCATGCCCCCGGGCCGGTGCGGCGACGCCTGCCCCGACATGTAGCGGTCAAACTCCTCCGGCGTCAGACTCAGGGAGTGCGCGTCCAGCTTCTCGATGAATGCCACCGCGCAGCACTGAGGGGGGGGTCGCGGCGGGGCAGCGCGGGCGAGGCGCGGGAATACGGAGGAGGCACGCGGGGTCGGACACGTTCAGAAACAAGCAGAAACAATCGCGCGGGCGGTGAGATGCAGGCAACTGCCACGCAAGCAGACACGGACACAAGGCGATGTAGACAAAATCAGACAGATCCAGGCAAGGTCGAACATGGGTAAAGACACTGAATGTTTAACTTCTTTCGCACCGTACGTAGCCAACCGTGCTAATCGGAGGTGGGGGGGGGGGGGGGGGAAGGACGACAAACTAAACACAAAAAAATCAGTTGTAAAGAAATTCGTTCTTAATCTAGATAGGAAGGGGAATGCTGTTGGCAGAAGGTGGATTTTTGATTTAAAGCTTTCGTGACTGCAGGGATTCATATTCTTGGTTGTTTCGGTAAAGTCACCACGTAGAAGGGAAACAATAAAATAATAAAAATATAAAACAATAAAATTCTCACGACGTTTCGACTGCAACACAAGCAATCATCATCAGGTGTGAAAACCACAGCAAGAAAATTTGAAAAAAGTGGCGGTTTTTTTAACGTAAAAAAACGCCACTTTTTTCAAATTTTCTTGCTGTGATTTTATTGTTTTATATTTTTATTATTTCCCTTCTACATGACTTTACCGAAAGAACCAAGAATAATAAGGTGGATTGTAAAGCTCACGGAATGGGATGGGGCGACACAAATCTCGACATGACAAGAGACGCGAGTCAAACGTCGTTGCCGCGTCCCCCGAACCGATTTCGTTCACCAAGCACATTTATTCAGTAGATGGCAGCAAAGCACGCAGAGGCTTGGAGTCCTTTGCAGCGGTCACGAGACCGACTGCTGACAGCTGCACCCGGGACATTGCTCGTCATCAAAGATCGCGAAGAGGATCCGCGAGCTCAGCTCCCGTTCGTAAGGGGCACGAGTTTAAATCCCAGTCAGGGGCCAAGTCGACTTATCATCAACATCGTCATTGGATAATTCACATCCCTCCCGATTGTAAAATAGTCACGATTTCGGGGGGAAAAATTTATTTTAAAAAATGTTTTACGGTGAATCAAAATAAAAAATATCCTACAAGAATCAACAATAACGCATTCTCACAACGCACCATTCCACATGCGTATCGCGAGCGTGCCATATCGATGCACCAAAACACCCTAATTAACAAAAAAAATATTACTAGAATTTTATTGTTTTATTGTTTCCCTTCTGCGTGACTTTACCGAAAGAACCAAGAATATAGTGTCATCATTATTATCTTTTTTGTATTTCAACTGGGTGAGAATTTTATTGTTTCATCTATATATTTTATTATTCTATTGTTTCCCTTCAACGTGACTTTACCGAAAGAGCTAAGAATATACCCTAATTATCATCGTCATCATCACCACCACCACCACCACCACCGACTCCTCCGTGGTGGATAAAACGAGCAAACCGCTGCGTGTGTGCCTTGCGGCGTATACCAGGTTGGTGAAGTAGTATCCGGCCTCCCCGGTCATGAGGCGGTTGGGGTGGCAGAAACGCGTGATGTAGTCGATGTTGGATTGCAGGCGTGGGGGGTTCGCGCGCAGCACGATGTAGATGAGCGTGGGCAGGAAGTCGTCGGCCGTGGCGGGCTCGTCGCGCGACACGCGGATCGCGTTGAAGATGTGCTTGCTGCAGCGCGTCACGCATGCCAGCTTGTCCTGCGGCACGCGCTTCGAGTCCATCTCGATGATGTCTGCGGGGGTCACACGGTGGGGCGGGGAAGGTGGGTAGTGGGGGCGGGGGGGGGTGTGGCAGGGGTGGGTGGGCACGGAGGTTTAGGACACACGCGCCACGCGGCGCTCTCGCGACGGCCTTCGCGCACCATCGTGTACCATCGTGCATACACGCGCACACTCACGTACCATCGCACACACTCGCGTACCATCGCGTACATTCACGTACCATCGCGCACATTCACGTACCATCGCACACACTCGCGTACCATCGCGTACATTCAAGTACCATCGCGCACATTCACGTACCATCGCACACACTCGCGTACCATCGCGTACATTCACGTACCATCGCACACATTCACGTACCATCGCACACACTCGCGTACCATCGCGCACACTCGCGTACCATCGCGCACACTCGCGCACACTCGCGTACCCTCGCGCACCATCGCGCACCATCGCGCACACTCGCGCACCATCGCGCAACGAGTCGCCAAGTCGACAACGCCGCTCGGCGGTAGTCATTTCTTCACAAGGCTGGCCAACAGGTGATGATTAACAATAAGCGTGCCATTAGAGTTTTTTTTTGGGTTAGACCACGTGAATATCAATGTGTCGCAATACCCGCCACCACCCAAGATAACCAATTAGTAAGGTTTGTCACGTAAACAGAACATGCCAATTCGTTACTAATACAGCACACCGGTGTGTTGAAGAGCAACTCCACGTTTACAATCCGAGTCTTGCTGTGCCGCTTAACGACACATTTATATTTCGATTTAAAGCTTTTGTGACTGCAATGATTCATCTTCTTTGGTTCTTTCGGTAAAGTCACGTAGAATGAGAATAAAATAATAAATTGATATATTGTGTTATGTTATTTTATCAATTTCTTATTTTATTCTCATTCTACGTGACTTTACCGAAAGAACCAAAGAAGGCACATTTATACTTACACGATCTAACCCAAAAAAAGACTATTTCATGGACGATATTGGTCGCGAAAGTCTACGTGTTAAAATAAGCATGCCGTTTAATTACACAGGAGAGACTCGCGCCGAGTCACATCAGACACGTTTTCCTGACACGTCTCTCTCATTCGCAAGCTCGCACCAAAACGCCTGTACGTGGACGTCTCTGCATCCACCGTTATCGACGTTACCCTCGCTGCGTTTTTTGCCGGTTGTGCTATACTGCCAGCCTACGGGTGCCCAACGCTGCGGTTCGACCCACGACAAGCCACAGGTGCGGCGGCTCGCTGGGGGGGGGGGGGGGGGGGGGGTGGGAGCAGGACGCGCGTCCCCCGCATGCACGTACCGGTGATGGCCTTCTCCACCATGTCGATCACCTGGGGGCTGTCCCCATTGATGGGTACGCCCAGCAGCACGGGGGTCACCCAGTGCAACGCCCTGCACGCCCACGCAGAGGGCAAAAGCGATTTTAAAAAAAGTGCAATTTTTTGTTATCATCTCGCGTGATGATTTCGACTTGTAACGTGCCGCGGAGCGTTCTCTCTGTCTCTCGAAGAAGAAGAGGATGACTGGGAGGTGCGAGGAGGAACCACAGGCTAGTGGGAAAGGCAGCCACACGGTGGTTCGGCAACAATTTACACACCCCCCCCACTTCCTGCTATAAGTAGGCAGGAAATGGTGAACATTTCTCATTTGTATTGGAGAGCTAGGACAAACTGCAGATGGCAACAAAAGTTAAAGAATCGTGCAAAAACCAGCACTGCAAAGACCGCACGTATTTGACAGCAATTGAAAGTTGCACACATTCTGGCATATATACAGTCTGCAGAGCAAAGCAATAGTCTCTACACGAAAACGGCAAATGAGAAAAAAAAACTGAGAAGTTAAACCGCAATGGCTGTGGCATGATTCATGCCTAGACCTCTTTACGAATCTCCTCTGCTTAAAGATGATTCATGGCAGATGCTCCCGCGGACTACATTACCGGCACGGTGACGCACGCCTGCTTACGGTACTTCACATCACCAACGACGATAATCGTTGAGGACAAGCGTCAGAGCCACCCCACAACCCCACTGCACCAACCCCCCACCAGACGCCAACCAACATGCACACGAGCGGCGCATACCGGATGCGCTTCTGGATGGCCAGGTCTTTTCGCTCGTCGTCCGTGTGCTCGGGACAGAAGACGTTCTTGTACAATCGCGTCATGATGAACTTCTCAATGTTGTCCATCATCTTTTCCACCTGCTCTGGGGAAGCACCTGCGGAAGCATGCGCGCACGACACGTGCCGGGCCAAAGTTAAACGGTTTCAGAGGGACCCTTCGCCAATTCCTCAATTCACGAGAGGCAGCGAACACAGGACCACTCACTCAACGTCCTAGCCTTGTAAGCATGTCCCGATCCACTCTCACCACAACAACTAGTTTAGCCGTCACAATCTAAGGTGGCGAATCAAAGGAAAAATTGGTATTTTTTTTGTATAGATTTCGCTGTCTCGTTTGTACCGTTGTGTCTTGCTGTGCTGTATTTTTCGCTTCAGTGAATAACCAATTCTCACTGCAAGGTCACTTATTTACGTTTCAATGCATTACTGCAGAGACGTCACTCGGCCGCTACAGCAGAGTTGCCGAAAGCCACTTTAAAGTGTTTCCTTCTCGTTCATGAAGCGTCTTCACACTTGTTTTGGAAACACATCCTGTGTGACCACATGAAAGAGAAAACATGTAACTTGCTTTCTGGTTTGCTGCTTGCTTCAACCGCTCGCCTCTCTACCTGCACGTGTTCAGGTTTGCATACGATGCATATTGATCTCTACGCGAGTCTGCGTCTCGTTTCCTCTCCTTTGCACGAGTCACCCGTCCAGGCTGCGCACGAGGGACTTTGAGCCCTGGCTCGGAGCGCCTCGGAAATCTCGATCAAACAACGCATCCGACTTGTGAAATATGTGCATTATAAATAGTGTTCATTATTATCCACGAAGATGCAGTGCTCGCTGGGCACGTGGGTAGTGAACGCAGGGCGCCACGGTGGCGACATTTTCACTCCGCCTAGTATGCAGGTCATGGGTTCGATCCTGACCCTGCCGCCTGTGTATTTGGAGTTTGCGTGTCTCTCTCTCTCCGCGGTCGTGCGGATTTTTCTCCGGGTCCTCTGGCTTTTCTCTCCACATTTAGAATCGACGTCACGCGTTTGGAGCAGGGGTCGGCAACTTGCGGCTCCGGAGACGCATGCGGCTCTTTCAAGGGTTGTTTCGTGCCGGTTATTTATTAAGGGCCACCGTCCATTATTCACCACAGCGTAGTGCCGCTCTTGAAAGAGAGGGGGAGTTTGTTTACCGAATTAGAAATAAATGTCTGCTATAAATGTCCACGTGACAAGTCACTTCGTTGAGCTATCATTTGTGATAGCCGGGTCGCTTCTGAAAAAGCAGCTACGCAGCTCAGTGAGGCCTTACCTAGTAAAATAAAAAAAAAAAAATTTGTTAATAGATGTAAGTCATTGGTTTAACTGTGTCTTGCCTAAATCTAACCATCCTGGGATGTGGGGGGCAGCTCCATGAGGACTTTTTAACTGCCAATATTCATCACTAGAATCACATCGGTGATTTTCACAGGAATGGATTTTCAGCAAGGGACACAAGCCTAAAAAAAAAAACCCACAAAATCTAGCCGAAGCATCATTTTGGTTGTTATAGAAACTAAATGTTCTTACGCAGCATGCATTCAATAATGGACTCTGGATTGCCACCGAGACACGTGGTGGTGCAGCCTAACGTGGCAGCAATGAACGGGTTCATTTCAGTTGTATAGTCTCGTGGGAGCAATCGCTCCCCCATTGAAGAATGGCTCCTCTGACACCAAATTAGAGCACCGCAAATTCACGTCACACCGATCAGACACTCGTCATCAGCAGGGCGCTCGGCTTGCGTGCAAGCACACCCAATGTGCGACCAACTTTAGCCAATTCCTAGTTTACTATTGAAATTTTAAAAAAAAACTACTTTTTATTTACGAGGAAAGGCCCACTGAGCTATGTAGCTCTTTTTTCAGAAGCAAACTGGCTATCACAAATCATAGCCCCTATGAAGTGGCTTATCACGTGGAAATTTATAGCAGCCAAATACAGTACTCTAAACGCATGCTGATTCTAAATGTGGAGGGTAGAACAGGAAGACCCGGAGAAAAAAAAATCCACACGGCCACGAGGAGAACATGCCAACTCGAAATATACAGGCATCGTCAGGGTCGGCATTGAACCCACGACCTCCTGTATACCGGGCAAGGTCATTAACATCTCGCCACCGTTGGTGCCCGTTTAACAAATATATAACGGAGAGCCGCGACTTCAAGACAAGTACGACGTTGGTCGACGGAGAGAGGCGTGCGGTGAGCTCGCCTTGGTTGCGAAAGGCAGCGTTAAAATGCGTGCGAGGCTACTTTCTGCAAGGCTACTTTCTGCAGAGTGTGACTTGACAGCTCAACATTGTTCAGAGGAGTGCGCGCGAGCATGCGAAACTGTGCGACGGTTGTTTTACTTATCGTTCATTAAACAATTGTCCAAACGTCTCCTCTTGTACCATTAAGGCATGACAATGACAAAAAGACTGATATTTCGGAAATAAAACTTTTTTTTTAAATGCAATAGGCTATATAGGTTTATACAGACCATTATCCTGAAATGTTGAATAAAAAATAACATGATCATTTTTTTTAAAAGCACACCGGTTAATTGAGGAAACAGCATATATTGTCTAGCAATGATTATACAGCAAACCCAAAGACAATCATGCAAAGTGCAATCATCCTAGCCAGTAGATCAGTGGCAATCAAACTCTTGCAGGTGTTCAGATAATGGGCCCCCCCCCCCATCGCCGCCCGCTTAACGAAGAAAAACGTCAAAACTATTAATTAAAAATCCATAAACAAAACGTAGCAATTGTTCTATATCCTTTGCGAAGAGAATAGCAAACTGCACATGCTACAGCCCCTCTTTAGAGCCCACAGCAATTTCGGGCCTTTCACTCCGAATGTGGTGCAAGGCCGTGGCTTCAATGAGGCACTTCGGGGCACATCCCATCGCTGAACACCCGTGGCTCCACCATTAACGCTAAGGCAGGACCCAGCGCTGTGCGAACACAAAAATCCCGCGCACAGCGCCACGCCAACTCTCAGGGTATCACACCACGGTGGCCAGTTGCATAAAACATTAAAAGTGAGGGTTTCCCTTCATTCCCCGTCCATATCAGTGCCAACTAAGACACCTTTTTTTTTTACTTCGGTTGTTTTACGCTACTGGCGACACGACTCTCAACAGGAAGGCTTGGTCTCGGGTCGATGGACGGTTTAAAGTGGAGAATGACACACTAACTTCTGTGTAATTACGGACTAAAACTAAGAGCGTGTTACTTTTGCTCGTCTAATTAGTATGATTTTACTGATCAAGAGAACATTGCACAAAACTTATTTTATCGAATGATCGTGGAAGGTATCATCCTAAATTCCAGAGTTTCAGGTGTTTGCCAACATCTGGGGGTTATTACTATTATTATTTTGACTGCTTTTGTTGTGCTGTTGAAGATCACGAGCTATGTGGCTTTCTGGTAAATGCATTGTTGTTCCCATAACCCCAAAAATGTTATGACGGATGATACCTTTACGGACACCCGGCATCATCTGCATCAGACAGCCAGGGTTTATAGCTCGGACAACAGGGCGACAGGGCTGCCAATCATGCAGCCATGAGTTCTTATCCCTAGCGGGTGGGTAAAATGATGCGCCAAACGGTGCCACTGCAATGCCGGTTGGGAGGTGGACACTTGGTCCCTGGACCAAGAGTGTCTTGGCTTTCGCGGCCAGGTGTGTAGAAAGCCTGAAGGCAGAATTGCCCCCGACGTGTGCCATTTAATTGCAATGCGAAGCTACGGGGGAGGGGAGAAAAAAACACTTAAGATGTTTCATGCAACGATTCACCGGCCTATCAGAGGACAAGCACCGTCCATCATTCGGGCAAGATTGGAAATACGATGCTTAAAACTGTAATTCACCTAAATGTGGGAAAATTTAACAAATTACCAATACTCACCAGACACAGCGGCTTTAAAGAATTACTCTGGTGGCATTACCAGTGCTGCTGTTAATATTCATCAATGCGAGCGTGTTAAAGCATGTCTCATCCTAGCAGCAAAACGGATGGAAAAACAAATCAAACTCTCCTAACCGATCGCCGACTCGCAAGCAAAGGCAATTGCAAGAGCAAACAGGACAATTTTGTGCTTGCCTGTGAGAATGGAAGCTATCAGAAACGTCACCATGGTGGTGTAGAAACTGTGGGTAATGCATCATCGTGGCTGTGATGGAACTGTCAGGTACGATTAACCCGACTGCTCAGAATAAAAACCACACGAAATAATGTTAGGCGACAGAACACTGCCTACACTGAATGAAATCGTCTAATAAAGTTATCAATATGAAATGTAGGTAAATTGACTTTTACAAGTACTCATATTCTGTATATAAAATTACACTAATATGTTAAACATTTCTACGTGCGTAGCTCCATGTGTTCACATCCTGTGTATCTGTTTGCGTGTGTGAACCAAAATGGTAATTCAAGTACTACACATCACCCTCAATGCCCCACGGAGTGGATTAATGAAAGCGACATGCTTTAACAAAACTTTGCATAACAATGCAGCGCTGTCGTTCTTGGTATTTAGTTGTTATTATGTGGGCAAGGTTTTTGGGCGAATACTTGATGGATTGAAGGAAATATGCCATAGCTATGTGTGCAGATCTGGAGTCATTAATAGCTCAAAGAGTTTTCTCTAAAATGTTAGCAGTGTTGTTTGCCAGCCAGAGCAACCCATTAAACGTACTTAACAGTAACGCGGGAATTGGGGGGGGGGGGGGGGGGCACACACAGGGAACCAGGAAAACCCCACAGAGGCAAGGGCCGTGCAATCAAGAAGTCGGACGCGATGCCAGAACAGGAAAAAAAAATCCAACCCAGGCGTGCACAAAAGACGCCGCTGCCCTTACTCTCCCTGGCCGCCGTGTTGGACTGCCGGCGCTGTGCGTGCCACGGCTGGGCTAGGGGCTCCGCCGAACTGCGGCCCAGGGAACTGCGGCGTCGAAGCGCGCTCAACCAGGAGATGCGCGACTCCTCCGCGAGCCCCGTAGGCCCGACGCCGCCCCCGCCGCCGCCGCCGCCCACCGCCCCCTCGACGCAAGCCGCCTCTACCATGCCACCCCAGACAGGTTAGCGGCGACTCCCCCCATGGGTGAGGGGGAACGTGGGAACACGCGGGGGGGGGGGGGGGGGGGCATTGTGGGGCCACGGCGTCAGCGTCTCCTCAGATTGGTCGATTGTTCCTGTAACTTACACCCCTTGGTGAACCTACTGCCGGATGAAGTAGCTCGTTTAAAGGGCAATTTTTTTTTAATTCCACAAAAGTTGAATTACACAATGCATCTGTTAGCCCGTAAAAAAACAAATCTACACCGAGCTACTGTGTAGCCCGCACCTCCGATGAGCACGGTTGGCTACGTACGGTGCGAAAGTTCAACACACATACATTTAAACAAATGAACAATGAGTTTGGTGCTTTTTTTTTTTTTTACAGCTCATAACAGTAGCAATTTTTCAAGCATCACCTGCTCTGGGTTAGCCTGAGTGTGTTAACGAGCACCATCAAGTGGGCCACAATCCCTCAGCGATTCGAGCAGAGATCTGCATCGTAACAGCTCAGTTTCGCTAATTTTGCACGGGGCCGGCTACTTTATGAGTCATCTGGGATAAGCAGGAAAACAGAACTGGTTACATGTGCACAATTATACTTCCGTTCTTTGAAAATACAAATTTAAATAAGGAGGCATTTGTTTTTAACACCATTGCGAAGCCGCAGGCCCCAAATGTCAAAAAGCCAGCAACAAACAGCACTATCAAAGTTGCTAGAGATGAAAGTTAACTGACATTAATGAAAAATGGGGGGCACATTGAAAATGTTTTTCAAAACATATACATAGAAATATTTACCGGACACCCTACAATGCTCTGGTGAATTGATGACTTTTTACAACTCGTAATTGGTATTCCATTTAAGAATAAATTATTACGTTAATATTGTGGTGAAATGATAGTGCTTTGAGTTGCTGTAAATCCCATTACATACAATAACAATATATACTTGTCAACAAACATCACATTTTAACCATAATATAGGGTTTTTTTAGTTCAATCGCTTAAAAATAGATGTGTCGTCAAACCAGCCACCACCCGACTAGTACAGCAAACCGGTGTGTTGGAGAGCAAATCCACAACATTTACAATCACATTTAAAAAACTCGATTTGATGCATATATGTCGCGCTTAATCATCAATAGTATTCGCTTATTAATGAGTAAAAATTACACTGAATTATATGAAAAAAACATTAATTTTTTTGACACTAGTAAAATATGTAGTACTCGAAGGATGTCGTGACAGGTCACGTGACTGTCGATATATATATTTTATTTCTCGCGCTGCGACTCGTCACCAACGATCGCCAGTTCTGCTTTTTTACGACGACGAGAGCTCGAGGCTTGGGACTGCAGCGGACCACTGAGCGATGCCTCGAATGGAAAATGAAAACGCAATCTCCCAAGAAAAGATTCCTGACCGTGGGAAAACAAATGGGGTCATAAGAGGCAAGGCGCGGTGCTAGTTTGCCCCTAGAATTGAATCTGCCAACCTTATCTCCAGTGTAAAGATTGCCACGATATTTTTTACTTCCACACAGTCATGATTATTGAAAAGGTCTTTCCACAGCTTTGCTCACTCTTCTTTTTCATTACACAATCCCACCCAGCGCAAAGCAAGACTAAAGGGCGTTTCCATATTGAGCACCCGCGTAACGAGCGCCGCGTTCCAACAGAACGTGCTGTATAAAAAACACACAAATAACACGAGTCATTGTGAGGCATAGCCGAGAAACACCAGCATCCGACAACCAAGGGAAGTGATGTTCACATAACGCAACCGATGGGGTCACGGCTCATAACGTACCGCGAGCCTTGCGGTTGAAATTTACACAACGTAGCTTCACGTGCTCACGTGGAACGCTCGGATTTACGCTTCCGGAGCAACCGGCGTGCTCAGTGCATTCCGTGCTGGGAAATCGACACATTTATGCAGTAGGCAGTTTTGCCAGGACATGCTTTCCCTCCCTGCTAATGCAAGAATGAAATCACTTCTTTTGAAGACAAGCGAGAACATATTTGTACGTACGGGATCCCGTATTGTCACGGGGACATGGGAAGATCGTTTCTACTCTTGCGGCCAATGACCCGAGAGACCGAGCGACAAAAATTCATGTCTGGGACAAAAGTGACTTTTCCACCAATTTCCACCACTGTGTGAATCAGGCACTGCTCACAATCTTGATTATTTGGCCGCTATGAATTTCCACGCGATCAGCCACTTCATTGAGCTATCATTTGTTGTGGCCAGGTCGCTTCTGAAAAAGAAGCCAATGGCTCAGTGGGCTTAACCTGGTAACTTAAAAATAGTTTAGATGTACTTGTATTTTTCTGTGATTTGCTTACCTTTCCCATACACTGCACCCCTATCGTGCTTCTATATTGTTTGCTGTTGTAACTTTCTGACCAAACCCCGACTGGAGATGTGTTGAAAAAAAGCTTTATAGGTTATCGGATTCCTCGAGTATAAATAAACATTCTGATTCTGAAAACAATTGTATGGGGGCTATCCCCATGAGAGCCTTCTATTGAGCTCTCATGGGTCAGCTTTACACAGTGTGCTGGGAAGCACAGGATGAGTATAAATGCAACACTTAAAGATAAAAGGTTAAAGTGGTGTGCTGCCCAATTAAACGTGGGGCTGCACTCATCCCTTATTTACAGATCTGAGCTGGTGGTGGAAATCCCACATTTCTTTGGTGGGGCAAGTCTGTCCACAGAACCGTTGTTGATATCGTGTCACCAATACATAGAGTACATATTGACCCCAGAGGATTGAGGGCTGATTTGACCCTTTACCAGGAGTTGGACTCGGAGAACCTTGAGAGTGCAACTTGTGGGCCCTACCACCCGCTCCTTGTACACGCCAACGATACCATCATTCCTAAAACTTAACATTTGACTTTAACAACGTACCATGCGGCGGGAACGCACTGCTGGTACAGCAATGACAATTCATAATAAAAACGTAACCTCTATCCTTTTAATGCATTTCAGCATACCACGCAATCACTCAAGCCATACAAGCTGTGTAGCCTTATGCCATTGTCCTGAGCATATATGAATTATTTATAGAATTGGGGGGTGGGGGGGGGGAGCGGTTTCACGATCCTGAATCGTGGCGTCATTCATTTTTCATTATCCGCAATATCTCGTGTTTGGCGAGATGCACTTGGCCGACGCGGCGTTGCTCGCTCACGGGCGCAGCGGGGACCGCCGCATCGCGCACAAACAGAAAGGAGCCTCTGCGGCGGGGCACGTTTACGCGTCGGTGCATACAGCAGGAAGCACGAGACAGAATTTCTGAGCTGCAGCGGCCACCCTCTTGACACCCCCACGAATTAAATCGGCTCATGCGAGCGAGCGAGCGAGTATTGAAGCCCCTGCAGCTCGGCGCCGCGTTATTGAATGCGTGTACACGCGGGCGCGCGGAGTGGCTCGCCCAATGCCGTCGGCATTTTTCATTAAAGTCACGTCAAAGTAATTAGGCACATCCTGTAAGTGAATTTCATATTGTCAAAGCCCAAGTTAGTTTTGCCTAGCGTACAAGATTGAAAATGACAGCTCCAAGAGGTTTCATTATTTATCAATGATTGAGCCTCGCATTAAGCACTCGGGAGTCCTGAATGGTGAGCGCTGGTCAAGCCAACCCGGCAGTAACGCGGCGTAAAAGTACCTTTGAAGACAGAGTGACATTGCAGCCGCTCAGCCATGGTCTGGTAAAAGTCTTGTACGAAGTCCGACTGTGCTTCAATGCTCTTGTCCTTTAAAAAAAAAAAAACACAAATGAACAGAGGTGTTAAAATACAACATTAATCCATTAGTGAGAACTGCGCTTTGTTTAGTCAAGATAGGCTGCACATCAGTTCAAGTGGGCGACCCCGCTTTGCTAACAAACAAACTGCGGTTGGTAAAAGGCAGTCAACACAGGAGTTCACACACTGAGTGCTCACAAAAAACGATCCACAGACCACACAATGCAGAGACCCCCATGTGGCATCGCACAATGGGCGGTTGTGTCATGTCAATATTGCATTACTGCACATATTACATTACACACACGTACAGTACTGCGTGGAACACTGCCGCCTTCTCAAAGAGCAGGCTTGGTGCAATTCTGGAAGCGTCTCGTGACCACAGGGCGATTCTTACACACAATGTACGTATGTACGTTGAACTTCTTTTGCACCGTATGTATCCAACTGTGCTAATCGGAGGTACGGGGGAAGGACAACAAACAAAAAAAGCAAAAAGCAGTTCTAAAGAAATGAGTTTCCAATCGAGATTTAAAAGTGCATAGCTCCAGCGGCTTCCTAATACTGGAAGGAAGAGCGTTCCAGACGGCTGCAAAAGCGCGTCTGAAAACGCGCGATGGGGTGACCATCTTTGTTAGACGGCTAGCCAAAAGCCGCTGCGGGGATGACCAGGGTTCGCGTGATGGTTTATGCTCCTTGACGAGATTATCACGATATTGTGGTTCATTCGTGGCAAGCACTGTGTAATGAGCGCAACTGGAAGTCAAGACAGACATCTGGCCTGTAATTGTGAACCTCACAACTGTGGTGTTAACAGTCCGTGTAAAATGTGGTGGCGGTGGAACAGCCCAAGAGCTTTTGTAGTAAGGCAGTTCTACCTGGTTTCTGCATAATAAACCTTTACATCTCATCAATACGATCCCAAGCCGTCTAATCAGAAAGCAATGCCATCTGCCATGCATAAACCTGCTTTTATGCATCCCCTTCGTGTCGTGACAATGACACGCATCATTACTGCAGGAAAGCTGGCAGTGACACCAGAGGCTTTGTACGATACCCTTCAAATGTGTGTCTTAAAGAAAGCACCAGCCTGCGGCCCTGTGGTTGTCCATATGGAGTGGTTTCTTAAGGTTTTGCCCAACCGCTGTATGTGTGTATGTATGCTGAACTTATTTCGCACCGTACATAGCCAACCGTGCTAATCGGAGGTGCAGGGGAAGGAGAACAAACTAAGTGTGCGTGTGAAGCCTTGAGATGTGTGTATGACTAACTGGCAAGCAAGTATTTATGCGTCCCATTAACCTATGAAATAGAATTCGTTACTTTCACCAAAAATTCAAATTGTTCAAGATGGCCTAATTATAAGTGATGTAAATTAGAAAGGAAAAAGAGATTCAAAAGTTACATTTAGGATAAAATCACAAACAAAACTGCATAAATGAGATTTTTAAAAAACAAGCATACCAATGAGATGTTCAATTCATTCTTAAATGAGATGGTGACCGGAATCATGGACATTCATCGAATCGCAATAGAGCCGAGTCATTACTACCTCCTAAATTGAGCAACAATTTAAATGTTACAATTAGGTTATCGATTAAAAGTTATTAAAAAAATATGATTGTTACACATACAATTCAATGCGTGTATGTATGTTGAACTTCTTTCGCACCGTACGTAGCCAACCGTTCTAATTGGAGGCGCCAGGAAAGGACGACAAAACTAAACACAAAAAGCAGTTCTAAAGAAATGAGTTTTCAATCTAGATTTAAAAGTGCATAGCTCCAGTGGCTTCCCAATATCTGTAGGAAGAGCATTCCAGACGGCCGCAGAAGCGCATCTGAAAGCTCGCGATGCAGTGACCGCAGCCAGAAGTGGCTGCGAGGACGACCGGAGCTGGCGTGTTGATTTATGCTATTTGAGATCAGCAAGGTGTTGTGGTTCATTTGTGGCAAGCACTTTGTGTGTATTGAGCGCGACCTTATAACGTATTCATTCGGCAAACCGGAAGCCAATGCACCTCAGTGTGCACTGGACGGACATTGCCGAATCTTGCATTATCCGTCACGACACATGCCAAAGAATAATGTAAGTATCCCGAAGAAAATAATAGATTCTACGGCTTTGTGTTTAGTTTGCTGTCCTTCCCCACCGCACCTCTGATTAGCACGGTTGGCGACATGGTGCGAAAATTCAACAATACATACTTTTTATTTTTACGTGACTTTACCGAATAGAACCAAAGAGTATGGATCCTTGCAGTCATGAAAGCTTTAAATCTAGAATACACGACTACTATTGAAGCCCGGGATCGCAGCGGCATGTGCCTGCCACGAGAAGCAAGCGAGCTCCGCCGTAATTCGCCACACCGCCCGTACCTTCTTGAGCTGCATGCCCTCGATGCAGGCGCGGCAGCGCTTGTAGATGTCCTGCGCCGCCGGCTTGCGCAGCAGCTTCAGGAAGTCGGTGAACTCGCCGGCCACGCGCTGGCTCTCCAGGCTCTGCTGGCGCATCACTGGGCGGCTATCCGGAGGCCTGGAATCTGGCACGTCTGACCGATCGCGACGCGCCCGTCCGTTACACGCACGTTTCATCAGCATCGTGTGTGTGTGTTGTTCTTGTTGGTGGTTGGGTTTTTTCAACATGTATCCACATGTGTTTCTCACACAGCTGCTATTATGGCTCCCAAACTACTATATAAGCGGGTTCATCAAGACAATTTTTCAAGACACCACCAGTTTCGAATGCTGATGTAATATTTTGCATGGACGCATGATGACGTGACCGTCACAGCTCATGGTAACATTACCATATCACTTTCACACGGATATTTATTTCATTTTTGCATTAGCTTAATACGCTTCCCAAATGTGTCCACATTTATACGGCGGTATCCATCTCTCAATAGAGAATGCACCGCTGGCTTAAATGAACATCGGAAGAATGACGATTTTGGTGACTGATGGATGGAGATGCTCCCCGATTGGATTTGGACTCTCGACTCTGTGACTAAGAGGGCCAGTGCTCTACCGAGCGAGCCACCCCAGCTGTTGAGAGCCAGGGTCACCTGGGCCATTACCCCCTTTTGCAGCCAGCAAGGACTCATCCAGCCAAATCTTCTACAATACCAATAGACATGTAACGATTTTTGTAAGAATCCATCACTTGCAATTTATGAATTATAAGGGAATGTTAATCAGGATAATCACGCCTTTCATATCATGCTCTCTTATGTCACCGTGTCTCAGAGCGCTTTACATCACATCGCATCTCAAACGTTTGAAAGGAAACCTCCAGTGGCAGCTATCCGTGTAAACGGGCATTAATCTGTCCGTTGGGGGCAAAGGGATTGCAATGATGAAGCCAATCTGTGGGTCATTTTCGAATTTGGCAATATTTGGACCGTGGTGCCGGCACTAACCATTGCGATTGAAGCAGATGGAGCGTATTATCACGGCTATGACACACAGTAATAATCAGGGCGACTGCTGGATTCAAACCAGAAACCTCTGCATCTAGCGACGAACGAGGGACCGCTGGCGGTAAGTTAACGACACATTTATATTTACGCAATCTAACGCAAAAAAACCCTTTATTGTGGATACTGGTTGCGAAAGCCTACGTGTTAAACAGGCCACGTCACTGTGCATCTCCTCTCGTCACACCCACTGCCCACATATCTCACTTCAATGCACGCAACGTGCAACGGCACAACACGCACGCAATTATCTGCATTTGAATAGAGAAGTCTGGGTAACGTGGCGCTGTGAGCTTCCCGACACACGGACAAACTCTAATGTAATGGAACAGGGAAGAAAGAAAAATGTGAACTCTGAAAATCTTCAAAGGGCTCATTCAGCTACACAAGTTGAGTTTCTGATTGCTGCATGGCGACTGTTGCCGGCTAACAATGATACGGAGAAAATGTTATGTACGGTTGTGTTTTGGCATGGTCAACGTCGGTCTTGTTTACAGTTTGCTTATTATAGTTGATATGTCTAGGTTAGATTTTTATTGTATGTTACTCTACAACTTTTAAACGTTGGACATTTATAAAAAATTATATTTAGATGGTATAAAAATAAGAAAAACATGTCAGAATTGAAATTCACTTGACTCTCGTGGACAAAACCAAACATTTTATAGATTGCTCTATCCCTGAAAAATTAAACACAGGAAGTGAACACGGCATTCTGTAACAATGCAACATTGCCAGAGGCTAAAGCTAATTATAGGCAAAAACAAGACAGCTGACAATACAAAAATATAGTTTGGGAGGTAGACTGACACATGGAGTTCAGAAACATGGACATTGACTAAGAAATGTAACAATGCTGCAAATTACACGAATTACATAATGCGTGGAAAGATCCATGTATGGAATTACAATGACAGGCAGAAAGCGCAAAAGGTACGTATCAGGGAGCGAACGCAAATTAGAGATATCATATTGACTGTTCAGACAAGTACCACCTTGCCTTGGCTCGGTCACACCGCTGCAAGGGAAAATGGTGAATGGATGCAACTGATGATGGAATAGCGGTCTATGGAGAGAATGCACCTGAAAGGATGATCACCGAGGTGGTGAAACGACGAGATCAGAGGTCAGGTAATGCAGGTGTGATACAGATATTGGTGTCACGGGACCATCATATGGGATGGTGCTGTAATGGGGAAGGGATTTGGGAAGCCTTCATCCTGCAGTGGATTCATCTTGGCTGATAATTAAAAGGTGCTTCAAAGAAAATGTTAACACTTATATGGGACTATCGATTTTAATGGAAAAAGAACGGATAATAATACACTGTGACATGATACCAAATGTAATGTTAATAGCTTCAAAAAGTCAACGAGTCTCCACTTGTTCGCCATCATTGTCAACGCGTGCCTGGAATCTTCTCTAGGTGGTCTCTCCAGAGCCCGGAGCCACATTTCTTGTGGTATTGCTGCAAATTCTCCGAAGCGTTAACATTTTTTTTAAGAACCCCTGTATTAAATCACAAAAAAATTTAATTTCGAGTTCAATGCGACGAGAGGCAAAAACCTTTCTTTGGCGGGGTCTTGGAAGCCGAGAAGAACTTCTTGACAGTGTTGACCTTGCTCGTCTTTTCCTGGGTCTTCTTCTCCTCGAACTTGGCGAACGTGATGGGCTGGGAGCCGCTGGGGTTGCCGGCGTACGCCTCATCCTCCTCTCGCTGGAGCCTGCGACACGGCACGGCGCACGGATCACGACGCAGGCCCGGCCATCGCGACACCTCTCGATGAGGTTTAGCGGTGTCACTTTAATGCAATAATGTTGCACGAAGCAATGCTGGCTGCACGTGTTGTTCAGCTTCGCGTGGGCTGCAACATTGTTCGAACCTCGATTGAAATGCATCGCCACTGGACAAGCAACAAGCATGTCGTCATCATAGCGGTGCGAAATCCACTAAGCATCGGCTACGGCAGAGAATACTGCCCGGCCAAAAATGAGCTTCAGAAGAGGTTTCAATGCTGAGCCTGTCGGTCTCTGGGGCAACCAAGTGGCTCATTTATAGGTTTCCTGACAGTCAAGAGCCAACGCACAGGAACTGCAAACTGCACTGATAGAGTGAACCCAGATTTTTTTTTTGGAGTAGATTGTTTCAGGACACAATAAGGTTTATGAAGCAGCCTTTCCTAGACACCTTTAACTATACAGCAAGAAAAAGCGGGCAGTCTTACTATCCCAGCTTGGATCTGTCCATACAGCCTCTCAATGCTCAAGGGGACATCGACCAGCCTCCACATCCTTTCCTTAATGGAAGGATTTGGGTGCATTGAGAGAAGGCCAACACGCTCGTCCAGCAACTCTATCCGAAAACATCCGAGGCTAAAAAATGTCACGAGGGGTATGTGGAAGTAGCCACAAGGCATGCATTGTGATCCGAGGCGTTTACTGTCTGACAGAACCCAGTTGGTGCGACTGCAGTGCCTGCCGTAGCTGTGGGTTCCCGCAGACCTCTCGGCGAGCTCGCGATCCTCCTGGATCTGCCTCTGGCGTGCTTTGTTGTACTCCTCGCGCCAGCACTTGGAGCAGAAGCCCTGCCACGCCGGGTTGCCATAGTAACCGCATCCCTTCTTGCACAGAAGCTCCGACTGGTCCACGTGGATGCCCTTGCGCACCGTGCGGACACTCATTTCGACACCCCTGCATTCCCACACAACCACGCGCGCCTTTCAGTCTCTCCCGCAGGCAGGCACACACCGTCGCTCCTGTCCGTCGCGCCCAGGCACATTTAATGGAACGAGGGCGGGCAGAGAAGCAAAACAAAAAACAAAGCAACACTCTCATCATCAGATTTCAGAACAGTTTCAAAGGCATGTTCGTGAAATATTTCTTTGTACTCTGGAAAAGGAGTCCATCTCAGATGGAGCACGGGGATTACGCAGTTCAGAGCGAGACCATCTTCAGTCAAATCTGACTTCAAACCTTCATCAGGGGTGGACGTGCCCAGCTAATCTCAGAACCCACATTTAAAGCGGTGGGCCACTTTCGCCGATAAGATATCATCAATGTCAGGGCCACCACACGTTTCAAACCATTGGGGTTTGACAGCATGATGGGGTGTTTTCACATTTGCGTATATTGTCGGGGGCCGTACGTCAAGAGACCACACTAAAGGCCACCAGGAGCTGCCAGTGGCCCACTGGCCTTGCAATGAACAACACTGATTTAAAGATCTCTGTTCCTCTATCACTGAGGGGTAAGGCGACCTTGTGACGAGCCACAATTACACAGCCAGTCGAGGGCAACAGTGGCATGACCTCCGCACCACGATTTTTTATTTGGAACAAATTGGCAATCAGATTTATAAAAAAACACAACATTACGAAAACCAAACGATGCCAATATTGCTTGCCTCAAATTTTACCTATGCCAGCGATACAACTGTGCCATGAGAATCGGTGCTCATGCCACGACCGCCTCAAGACTGGTTACGCAGGTGTGATTTGTCACGAGGTGTGATTTGTCACGAGGTGTGATTTGTCACGAGGTGTGATTCCTTCTCAGTGGTGGAGCTACAGAGACCTTTAAATACCGGTTCTGAAGGCCGCAGGATGTGCGTCTACCTTCCTGAAGGTTTGTAGGGCCAGTGCAAGTCAGTGGGACTGAGACCGATCGGGATTGTAACCATGTCTGTGCTCTTATCTTGTACACACGCACCTAGAATGTGTTTTGTGGTTATCTGTTCGTGAGAATAAAATACGTTGAAGTAACAGTTAACAGAATAGCACTCACACTCTAGTGAGAACACTGCAAAGTCATCTGCATATATTTCAACGTCAATGCAATGATAATATTAAAACACATTCCGGTGACATGCGTGGCTGTAACTTTCAAGAATATTTTTGCTCATTCACAATTTTGAAATTTGCGTTAGACAGCCTGAGACACAGCCTAGGAAAGTGTCGACAAGGTAAGAACAATTATCACTGTATTTATTTCATAGCTACTGCTATGAATACGGCAGTAGACATCCGTTAGGATAGTAACATCTCATATGCCTCTCAGAATATTAAATCTCCAGGGGTCAACTCAGCCTATCATCATCAGTCCTTGAGGGTCGATAAAATGAGACCCACTTTTGTGGGAACTCAACAGTGGTGACCATATAGAGAAGCTGGTTCCAATCAAGATAATACTCTATAGTATAGACTTAAAGCTTCCGTGACTGCATGAATTCATATTCTTTGGGTCTTTCGGAAAAGCCATGTAGATAGGAAAATAATTAAAAAATATATATCACGTTTCGGTCGAAACACAAGCAATCGGGGAGAGCTACTGAGGCAGGAAATATATATTTTTCCTGCCTCAGTCGCTCTCCTGTTATATTTTTTCACCTGATGATGATTGCTTGTGTTGCGATCGAAACGTTGTGATATTTTATCTTTCTATCTACGTGGCTTTACCGAAAGACCCAAAGAATACTCTAAAGTTTAGTTTTAATATGGACTATCCAACACGAGTTCAGGACCAAGCGATACGCATCTCCCAACACTCGTTTGAAAGGACCCTTGTGAATTATACAATACACTGACATGCACAGTGCTCCGTGCATCGTAAAAAAAGCCTAACTCATACACCAGGCACTTTTTGTTGCAGATATGCATAGGACTGTGCAGTCGCTGTGGCTATAACCGATAGATTATTGACAAGGTTCATTAACCCAGGGCAAAGCGTCTAGGTTATTATGCATTCAAATGTGACCCTGTTCACACAGGTAGCTTACCCGAGTATATCTCCATTAACAGTGACTTACAGGTGAAAGGTTGTTTCAACTGGACTAACGGTAGAATATTAATTAAGTTTTCTCCACGTGAAGACACATGCGGTCAGAAACCCCACGTGCAGTTTGTAATATTAAACACCACCAATAAGTGTGCATTGAGTTGTCAGGCACAAAGAAAGCATCTGCTTTTGAAATGGAAGGTATTTAATACATGTTCATCACTGACAACTCGTGTGGGAGGAAAGCAGATCACGAAGAGAAGCCCCATGAATACCAGAGCATATCACTGCAAATCTAGATGCAGTACAAGTAAACAACCGATTTGCTGAATTCTGTTCTACTGGACATCACACTTGATTTCATGAAATCAACGTGATGTCACATATTGATGAAAGAGCTCCTTTGGAGTTCGTAAGTGGCACTCTAAATACTTCTACGAGGCTATTATTAAAGAGACGTGTGGTCTCGGTGCACAATTTCCTGGTCGGAAAAGGCACCTACAGCATCTAAAAACTTCACTTGCGCTCAGTTGTGTGCTCACACATCAGAGATCAACGTTGACAATGCGTGAAAAGTACGCAGTCTGTCCAACAGCGAAAGGACATCTGGAAAGCCCACGGTCTTAACGCCGTGTTGAGGGCTGGGAGTGCATTTGTACAATTTCAGTTCGCGTCCAACGGGATGATGCCCATCGCCAAGATATCTAAAACGTGTGCAGTTATCGATCTTGATGACGACGAATACTGTGTGGATCATGAGAATGGTAAGGACAATGGTGGTGTGAGGGCTTAAATTCCCAATAAATATTCCCCCGTATCTGGTCGACTACAATAGGCACTTGACTAGTAGAAGTAGTAATATCGCGATGTATACTGTATGTGGTGTGCCGGGTCCGGAAATATTTTCTGGACAGACCCAGCTGAAATAAATTATTGCATGACAGAGTGAATGATGGCAGAAATGGTGAGGAAGATGAAAGCGAGAATGAAGATGAAGGTGACAATGGCAATAAGGGTGAGGATGTTGTGTGATGTGTGGAAGATAATAGCTATGTTTATGACAGCATTGGTGAGGATAGTAAGGATAATTTTGTGGATGATGGCACGGAGGAAACTGATAGTAAGGATGATTGCGTAGATGACAATGGTGGGAATGAGGATTATTTTGGTGGCGATGTGTTCACTACCTCACCTAGTATACAAGTGGTCTGTGGGTTCAATCCTGACCCTGACACCTGAATATTTGGAGTTTGCATGTTCTCCCCGTGGTCACCTACATTTTTCTCCGCGTCCTCTGGCATTCCCTCCACATTTAGACATGCATTTCGAGTATTTGGCTGCTACAAATGTCCAAGTGAGAAGCCACTTCGTTGAGCTATCGTGTGTGGCCAGGTCGCTTCTGAAAAAATAGTTTATAATGTATTTAGATGCTTTATAAATCCTACGTGGATTGTATGATGTCATGGTGTGATGAATATGATGTTGGGAAACTTAGCCGAACCCTTTCTTGAAGGAGTCACTCGACTCGGTGAATCTTTTCCCGGGTAAACAATCGTAATATCATTTTAAAATAAGTAATATTTAAAAATACTTTTTAAAAAACACGCTTTAATGAAATGTACCCTACTAGTAATGGAAGAACTCCACGACTCCAGGAAGTGGCCCCGAAGCTTGCCACAACGTAAGGGGACCGTGGTGATTTACAGCCAACGTCAGTTGACCGTGGACAATTAGACCAAAGCCGAAACATAACATATAAAAAATGTTTCAAAAAATATATTATTTTTAATGATAGAATATAGTATTGTCATCAGTATGACATAAGTATACCAAGTTTGCAGTCGATACCACATTGGGAAGTGGGTTAAAATTGAGTTACAAGATTTGAGGATACAACAGTGAGTTAATTAAAAGCGTGTAAAAAACATCAATGATGACGGGTTGGATTTGAGTCGATCCTGGCAAGTGAGCTCGGTGCACTCAGAGGACTCCCCTAAGAGACGAATCTCAGCTAACCAACCGACATGAAACACGTGTTCACCAACGACAGCACGATACCGTAGTGATGCTATCAACGTGTTGAGTCAAAAGTCAATGTACAGCACAGTGCATGTGCTCCGACACTAAAATAACCTCTGGGTGGCACTCATAGGTAGATTGGCCTCGATTCGGCGGTGGAAATTCCCCATTCATTCGGGGCGTCAGTAACACCCATAGGACAAACACTATTGACTTCTCACAAAGTGGTACCTCCCCATTCAATTGATTCTGGATGATGAAGACGATGGCTATGGTTGATCCCTGGCTGGGATTTAACCCCCCCTCCCTCACCTTCAGATGGAGTCGAGTTGCTTGAATTTAACGTAATCAACATCACTGCGATTATATCACTATCAACCACATCACCATTTACCCACTCAATCATCGTCCATACCACCATCCACGGTAGCTTAATCTCATCATCACCATCATTCTTCTACGTCTCATAAAAAAATGAGTATCGCATTGTGAAAAGACTATAGCACGTCTCCTACAAATGAATGTCAACATGGGAGAATTGAGTCACTACCAATGGAAGCCAACTTCAACACTGAAAAGGCTTTTTGGGTACGGCAAGGATTAAAGAGAAGCGAGGGGTTAGCGTTAGTGATAGCGTTAGTTCGTGATTGGGTTAGTGTTAAGGGTTAGTGGTAGCGTTAGTGGCAGTGTTAGTCAGAATCTGAATAGTGTATGTATGAGAGCTATAACGCTCTTTTTTCTCAGACGTCCAGTGGTATGGCTAGTGGTAGTGTTAGTGGTATGGCTAGTGGTAGTGTTAGTTGTATGGCTAGTGGTAGTGTTAGTGGTATGGCTAGTGGTAGTGTTAGTGGTATGGCTAGTGGTAGTGTTAGTTAGTGATATGGCTAGTGGTAGTGTTAGTTAGTGGTAGTATTAGTGGTATGGCTAGTGGTATGGCTAGTGGTAGTGTTAGTTAGTGGAAGTGTTAGTTAGTGGTAATTTTAGTGGTATGGCTAGTGGTGGTGTTAGTTAGTGGTAGTATTAGTGGTATGGCTAGTGGTAGTGTTAGTGGTATGGCTAGTGGTAGTGTTAGTTAGTGGAAGTGTTAGTTAGTGGTAGTGTTAGTGGTATGGCTAGTGGTAGTGTTAGAGGTATGGCTAGTGGTAGTATTAGTGGTATGGCTAGTGGTAGTGTTAGTGGTATGGCTAGTGGTAGTGTTAGTTAGTGGTAGTATTAGTGGTATGGCTAGTGGTAGTGTTAGTTAGTGGTATGGCTAGTGGTAGTGTTAGTGTTAGATAGTGGTATGGCTAGTGGTAGTGTTAGTTAGTAGTAGTATTAGTGGTATGGCTAGTGGTAGTGTTAGTTAGTGGTAGTGTTAGTTAGTGGAAGTGTTAGTGGTATGGCTAGTGGTAGTGTTAGTTAGAGGTATGGCTAGTGGTAGTATTAGTGGTATGGCTAGTGGAAGTGTTTGTGGTATGGCTAGTGGTAGTTAGTGGTAGTATTAGTGGTATGGCTAGTGGAAGTGTTAGTGGTATGGCTAGTGGTAGTGTTAGTGGTATGGCTAGTGGTAGTGTTAGGTAGTGGTAGTGTTAGTTAGTGGTAGTGTTAGTTAGTGGTAGTGTTAGTGGATAGCTCGTGGTAGTGTTAGTTCGTGGTAGTGTTAGTGTTAGTTAGTGGTAGTGTTAGTTGTAGTGTTAGTTAATGGTAGTGTTAGTTAGTGGTAGTGTTAGTTAGTGGTAGTGTTAGTTAGTGGTAGTGTTAGTTAGTGGTAGTGTTATGGCTCGTGGTAGTTTGCAGCGTTAGCGGCAGGGTGTTGTCAAAAGGGATTGCGGCCCAGCGCGTCTATCCGCGCGGCGCGCGATGCTCACCCGAGACGCGAGCCCACCCCACCCCGCCCTGCGAGCGGACGCGATCGCGAGAGGCGCTGGCACACACTGGGGCTGTCTCTCTCCCCTCCCTCTCCCCGAGTCTCCGTCTCTCTGAGGAACTCACGAGACTCGGAGCCGCCGACGTCGCCGCCGCCGCCGAGGGGAGCCCGCGACCTCAAGGCGCCGCGAGCAGCAGTCACCAACATCCGCCTCGCGCCGCTCTCATTGGTCCCCTCGGCGTGCTCCGCGATTGGCTCGGAGGTCGTCACGTGAGACGGCTCGGTGATTTTGCCAACCCCCCCCCACCACCATCACCCCCCCCCACCATCACCCCCCCCACCATCACCCCCCCCACCACCATCACCCCCCCCACCATCTAACCCCCACCACACCCCAACATCACCCCCCACTACCAACAACAACCGCCAATCGCCACTAAGTGGCGGTGACGTCACCACGGCGCTTGTGCCAGGCTAGGTGCACGTTGAGGCCACGTGAAGTGTCCATAGTTCCATAGTTTAATTTATTTTGGTATAGCCCTGTGAGCCATTCGGCTCTTGAATCGGGTGCAACGGCAACAAACAAAAACACGAACAAGAAAAACATCTTAAAGTGACTTTGTGTGACTGTGCAAACAGAAAATCCATGGAAAAAAAACAGCAAAATATTCTTGAAAAAAAGCACCGTACGCCAACGCTGTGTGCAAAAATCCCAGTGGGATGCAAGGCAAAACAACAACAACCACAAGACAACTAAGATTAAGTGTCGAACGCCCGCTGGCAGGGAGGAGGTCACGGGGCAGACCCAGCAGGTGCCACGTGTCGACTGACCGAGACGACTGAGACGAGAGTCTGATGCACCACCACCTGTGCCCCCCCCCACCCCCTACTGTGTCAACTTGCTGCGTTTTATCCGCCCAGCGCTCCGCTCGTTGTTGTGAGCGTCGCTCCTCCGTTGTTGTTGTTGTTGCTGGAGGGCGACTGCCTCCAACAGCCCAGTAACTGGCAGCGTCCTTCACGAGCCTCCTCCATACAAGACAAATATAAAGGTCGCCCGTGTAGCCTTAACAGACTGTTGGGACAAGTGCTCTAGAGGAGTTGTACACCCCTAGCTGTCACTGCTATTCAGTGGCCTAAAATAAAATAAAATGTTTTCGCTCCGGATGACCGCTGCAAAGTATTATTTGTATTTTGATTTAGTGTGCTGATCTTAAAGGTGCATTGAAGAATGTGATACTCCGACTTGATGCTCCTGTTGTTTGTGGAGTGACTCATACAGCCAGCTGTGGCTCTATAGGGTTTGGTGTTACGTGTTATTTATGTAGTTTATTGTTAAAAAAATTCGGTCACAGTTCCTATGATCACTGTTACATTGCATTTATGGCTTTATTTTGGTGATTTCTAAAAGTTTTTTTGGTTTGGCCATGTTTTTGTTTATTGTAGTACGGAGTTAGACTGATGGCCTTAGTCTTAGTTGTCTTGTGGTTGTTGTTGTTGTTGTTTGACTTGCATCCCACTGGGATTTTTGCACGCAGCGTTGGTGTACGGTGCTTTTTCAGGAATATTTTGATGTTTTTTTTTTCCATGGATTTTCTGTTTGCACAGTCACACAAAGTCACTTTAAGATGTTTTTCTTGTTCGTGTTTTTGTTTTTTTGTTTGTTGTGGTTGCACCCGATTCAAGAGCCGAATGGCTCACAGGGCTATACCAAAATAAATGAAAACTATGGAAACTATGAAGATCGGCCACGGGAACACACGAGGGGGGTGGGTGGCCAACAACCACCCCCGGCCGCCTTTGTCTCCCCACTGGTGATGTTTAACTACACACCACCGCTACCAGGTTACTCATTTGAGGCTGAGTCGACTTAGGAGAGGCCCAGGACCGGTTCAGATAAATCCTCCAGACACCTCCACCCTTGACCGCCTGTTGCGCTGATTGATCGAAGCGCCGCCACGTGTACCGGTACATGGTCAGCTTCGTGTAGTTTAATTGGATGCCATATCAGTGCGGGCTTTGGAACTATCGTGTTTTTTTAATGTAGTTTGTTGTTGTAACGTTCTTACCCGCACCCTACTGGACATCTGTGGAAAAGAGCTTCATAGCTCATCGGATTTCTCCTGCAGTATAAATATTCTGATCACGTGATTCCTTCAAACACACACCCCCCCTCCTACCACCACCACCAATGCGGTTCGCGATTGGTTTATCGGTCGTCACGTGATTACAGATTCCCTCGTCCGTTTAAAGGGCGCGTTGCGTAACCGGCCATGATCGATCCGCCGCTGGATGGAATCCGGCGCCATCCGACACGGTGCAGCGATCATACCAACGCTTTAACCCCCCGCCGCACGCGAGACGAGAGTTCTCTCCGGGAGGCTCCCGTCTCTTCAGATAGAGCTCCCCCTCTCTCGCTGGATTCGGAGGTTTTCCGGAATGCACGCACGTGTGCTGATTTTTACGCAGCGTGTCGAGGGTGCAAGCTGCTTCGTGGTGGCGAGATGTTATTTTATTAAAACAGGTGGTGGGTTCGATCCCAATCCTGACGTCTCAAGTATTTTTTTGGGAGTTTGCGTGTTTACTCTGGTGGCGTGGATTTTTTTTTCTTCCAGTTTTCCCTCCACATTTTTAATCAACATGCGTTTAAGAGTATGCTCTCTCGCCCACTGCAGCATTTTTTTTTCTTGCTGGGGTTGTCACAGTACATAATTTTATGCTAATTCCTTTGTCAAGACGTTTTTTGTTTCCTCCCACACAGCTTAAAGGACGCGACCTGGGCTTGGCTGTCTTCACTCCAACGCTGTCCTCTGGACAGTCCGGTCCCTTCACCTGATGAAGGCCACTTGTGTTGTGGCCGAAACGTCGTGATTTTTGTTATTTTATTTTTACCTACGTGACTTTACCGAATAGAACCAAAGAGTATGTTGTCACACCTGATGAAGATTGCTTGTGTTGCAATCGAAACGTCGTGATTTATTTACTTTGACTTCTAACTACGTGACTTTACCGAAAGAACCAAAGAAGATAAGCCACTTCGTTGAGCTGTCATTCGCGATGGCCGGGTTGCTTCTGAAAAATAAGCTACATCGACTCAATGGGCTTTAACTGGTAAGATAGAAAAAATAGTTTTTTTCGGATACTAGTTCATAAAGCCTTTCTTCGCCAGGCAAACATTTTCAATATAAATAATTGACCTAATATGTATTTTTGTTACCATTTTTATCTACGATCAGACACTACAAAAAATAGTATTTTCCCACAAAACTAAATTTGTTGACGACTTGATTCAACTTCCTGTATTTAAAAGCGTACCCATCGGAAACAGCTCAATTTAAAGATCCATACATTTTATTACAAAACTTAATTTACTTAATACTCTGAGGGAAGCTCCTGTCTTTTACCGTTTTGGAATTATTCAAATTTGAACATCATAAAATGCGTATTTTTTCCATTCAAAACTGCTTGAATCCGAAATATCTCAAAACAAAGAGATCAATATTCTTGGTTCTTATATTGTTGTTTTTATTTTTTACCTATGTGACTTTACCGAATAGAACCAAAGAGTATGGATCTTATATTGTTATATATATATATATTTTATTATTTTATTGTTTCCCTTCAACGTGACTTTACCGAAAGAACCAAGAATATGACTCACTGCAGTCACGAAAGCTTTAAATCAAAAATAGATCAATGGTTCTCACTTTCACTTTATTTTCTGTTTAACGCTCTATCAAACAAAAAAAACACATTTAAAATGGTTTCTAAATGACACGCACAAACATGTCTATGATGCACTTAAAATGGAGATTTGGGGGGCTTTAAAATTTCATTTTTCGGAAATTCAGATTTTTCTGTTTGTCCTAAAAGCTACATATGTACCGAATTGCAGCTCTCTAGCTTGTCGGGGAATACCATCGAGGTTTTTGAGACATACAGATTAAGGTCTTCATTTAGATCGAGGATGTATTTTAAAATGATTTGCTTAACTTTCATTTACTTTGCATTGCTATCGTTTTTTTTGCTGCAATGTTCTGACCCCGCACCCCTACTGGACATCTGTGAAAAAGAGCTTTCTAGCTGGTCGGATTCCTCCAGTATAAGAATTCTGATTCTGAAAACAAAAAATTCTGAAATGCTTCATGCGAGGGCAAATTGGGGGTTGTCGTCACTGGTTAAAACGTATCCGGTGATCTACTACGCCCAGCAGCGTGATTGCTCAATAGCAACCACATGGCTGAGAACAATTACCCTGACCAGGCTCATCCTTGGCCTTATCGACTGAAAGATGCCACGTGGTCACAGACCGTAGCCGTGGAAAATCCTGGAGATACCACCGGTATTTACATTAATTGAACAAACCCCGTTATTTACGTGAAGACGAATATCCCACGCACATGTTTCATGTTTGAGTGCTGAACTGTTGATATTCTATTCAAAACGTTTTGACAAGGGTGTAATTTAAACACCGGCCATGTTCAATCCACCGCTGGATGAAGGCTGCCTGCCCCAAGCATCCATCAATATAACATTGCGATGCAACAATCCACCTGGCACCTTTGACGTCCATCCCAAATTTTCGGGTAGGAATTGGGATTCCACCGTATAAGCCTGGACACAGGCCCAGAGATATTGGACCACACTGAAAACAATTTTTTATGGATATCAGAGGCAGGTTAACACAATTCACTTTTTTATTTGAATGTGAAATCATTTCATTACATCTCTGCTGTCCAACAGCTATTTGACGAAACTCAAACGCACACAGAGACTTAAGTGCATAGGAAACACTTCAAATAAAGTGATTGGAAGTTGCACAACCTTACCATGATCTCGGAAAAGGTTTCCCAAACCCCAGTCCTTGCGACCACCACGGCACGCACGTCTTTCTGAGTTCAACAATCTGCCTCCCCTCAAATGCAAATTAAGTTGCTACATGCCGCACGCGCCTGATGATTGATAAACGTCTCACGTAATTTGGGGTGCGGTCAATGACTGAGTCACACTTGTTCCACCCTTACGCGTTGAGCTCAAATTATACGAGTACTGTATATGCGATTGCATTTTGCCACAACACCGATGACCCTTCTGTATTGTTTACTGCTTATAAAACCCGAGCGTTGCATTAAAAGTATCCATCACAGTGTTCTATGCTATTTGGAGGCGTTTCCACACACTTTTATCCAAATGCTCTTAACGCACAAAACATCGGATAAGCGAGCCACG